TTGCAATCTCCCAGAGACCCAGGGAAATGAGACCATCCCACGCACTTCTGGAACGTGGGGACACTGGCCCCGGCCTGGGTGCCCGGGGCCTGGGGGGGCAGGCTGTGGAGGCAGGCGTGCCTGTTCCCACCCCTGTCCCCCTCAGCCTCCCTGACTCCCTGGAGAGGCTGGAACCCCTTGATAGGAAAGGACAGAGGCAACAACTCCCCCCCAAATCACGACCCTAAGTCAAAGTCCATCCTGTCTTAAGTGACGCCTACTATTCAGTGAACGCCAGGGAAAAGGGCCAAGGACTTCGCACGATACAATCATGCAGTGAAGAGGTTACACGCCCACGGCAAATGGCTCAGGAGGTTAAATATTTCGCCCAAGGTTCGCAGCTGCTAAGAGGTGGAGGGAGCTCCGTGCCTCTGGCTCCCGACCCTGACCCTCCGGTATGGCCGCTCTCCCTGCTCCCCGTCCTGCGCCAGAGGGGAATGTGGGCACCCCAGGACGCCGGGCACTCCCTCTAAGGACACCAGGCACTCCCTCTCACGCTCCTTCCGTGGGTCGGTCAGCCTGTCGGAGGCAGGTTCAGACACACCCGCTCACGTCCGCACTCACTGATCTCGGTCCCGTCACCATGGCATGAAATGCACCCTGTAGTTCGTGTTCTTCTCAAACCCCAACCACCCAGGAGGCTGCGTTACAGGAGCCTGATTTCCGATGCAAGTCCAGCCTTGTAACACGAACATATGCTCCCACCCACTCTGGACTCAACCCCTCCACGCGTCCCACAGGCTGGGTACCCCTGTTCGTCACGGAGGGTGACAGATCCTTCGTCACCATCGCAGTGCAACTCGGTGTGAACCAGTGTGACGACCTCGAGCTCCTTCTATGACTTTCCTTTCACGAATCTCAGGACGTGCTGCCATGTCAACAACTAACCCAGAGTCAGCACACTTGGTTCTGCCATTGGAGACGAAGAAGGGTATTCGCCTCTGGGTTCCCAGGCCCCCAGGATCCTGTGCACCAGCTTGGAGAAGGCTGTGGTCCTGTAGTGTTGATCACGCGTCACTCACTGCACGGACCACAGCCGTCTGAAGTCAAACGTGCTATTTATAGGGTTTCATGCCATGTACAGCCTTCCCATCACTGCTCTCCAAAATGGCACTTCTGAGAGGAAAACATACAAGGAGGAGGCCTTGCACACCATCACTCACAGTCACCTGGAGGGACATCTTAGACGTATGAGCCGGTGCCCAGGAAACAGATATGGAGAGAGGCCCACAGTGCTAGGAAAGAGAGGATGTGTTTAGAAGAAATGTCAGAGACAATGATGATAATTCACTTAAGAGAGACGGTCAAGTCATTCTGATTTGAGGGCACTTGGCACAGTTTGCCACCATCTCGTGAGCTGGGCATGCCCCTCAGCCCGGGCTCACCTACCACAGTCCTCAGGGGCACCATGGCTGCTCCCCTCCAGGCCTGGAGCCGGGAACGGTTTGCTTTTCCCTGGGACACTCCTGTTAGGAAGGGAACCGTCTCTCACCTTGTGGAGAGGTCAGTGGCAATTTTGTTTAAAAAAAACCGTATTAAACAATATTTACGAAAACACGAAAGGACCAGAGCGTACTTTATAAACAGCCGTATCAAGCACAGAAGAGAAGAGGGGAAACTAGTTTCACGGTCACAGAGCCTGTAAAAAGCACCACTTCATTTCAAAAGTGTAATTTTTTTTAAAGCAAATCAAATGATTTCAGGTGTTTACAAAAAATCGTTGTGGTCACAGCGTTCTATAAACACTGGACACGCTCTGAGAAGATTCTCCTACATCACGAGAAATCACAGCGTAGACCGGAGGCCACCCTTTTCTTTTTCCTGTAAGATCTGCTTTTAGTTTCACATTTAACATTTTTCTCTTGGTACCAGGGTCAAGAGAGAGCCTCCATACTTATGTTCTAACTCATCTTACGTGCCACAGGCAAAACACAGTTTCCTCCCTTTAGACTCGGTTACATAACTGACTGGGTGTGACCACCATGTAGGAGTCAATCAATGACTCAACAAACAGGAGTTCCCACTACGTGCCAGGCAGGGCCAAAGTCCGACAGGAACAGCTTTTGTCAGGGCTCCAAGCTTCAGGAAACATTAACTATATGGCTGAGGTGAGACTAAAGTCGCCTGGAGTACTTGCCAGGGGGAGTGTCCTTTGACTTCCTACCTGTCTTTTGGGGCGCATCCTCTGACATGAATAAAAGGACCAAAGACTCTAACCCTGCCAAGACTTCCCCCAAACATCCCGGGACCTCCACTGGGTATAGGGGTCGCCGAGCTTGTGCCTGAAGGTCAAGGAGCAGGAGAAAGCCTAGGCCTGCGGTTCCCTGGGAGTTCTTAGGTCCTGGGGCAAAGAGCCAGAAGTTTCCTCTCTCAGGAAACTGCAGCAGCGAGGGCTCTGCATGGGCAGCCGAGCATGGCACCTGGTGCAGGTGCTGTCTGATGTCCTGGTGCCCATACCTGGCTCCAGCCCCTGGGCCACCACTGCCTCATGCACCCTCCTCAGCCCCCCTTTTCTACCAGCTTCTCACAACTTCCTGTTTCTCCGCACCCGTCCCAGCTTCCACACCTTCACTCATGCTATTCCGAGATGTCCTTCCTTCTCGTCTCTCCGCTTTTCCAGTTCATATACATTCTGTCAGTTCATTGACAATGTCACAAAGCCTTCTTTCATTCATCACCCAATCAGAGCTTTCTTTCTCCTCTGAATCCCCACACACATCATCTATGGACATAGTTCTTTTCCACCGACCATCACATTTTAACTTGTATGCTAGTCACCTCTTTTCATCTGTTACCTGCCCTACGAACGGAAAGGTGCTAGAATTCAGAGCCCAGGTCTTACCGACGGTCATATTTCTAGCGTCTCACGCCCTAGGTAACTGCATGGTTTTGACACGGGGTTCTGCACAGAGCCAGGGTTCTGGACCTGGTGGGGCGGAGAGCACGCCAGGGCTTCAGTCAGATGGGTTTTCATTTTGTCTATTGACTGTGATGGATATGAGTTCTTTCCTTTAAGGATCCTGCTGCAGACAGGAAAAGCCACTGCAATAGGTACTGTCCGATGAATGAACAGAATCACACCCAGTGCTCTAGTGCTTGCTCCCTTCAGGCCTAACGAAACCCAGCAATCAACAATGAGTAGCACAGGCTCAGCGTGCCTGTCCACCGAAGACCGTGGCGATACAGAGGGCCCTTGCTCCTCTCCTATACTGACCTCTCATATTCGAATCTGATGGAAGCCCCTCCAGCACTGACTGAGTTGTGTTAAGGGTTTAAGAGAATCACCCTGGCCCCTGGTTCTGTTGTGATGTGTGTGTGTGTGTGTGTGTGTGTGTGGTGTGTGTGTGTGGGGTGTGTATATGTGTGTGTGTGGTGTATGGGGTATGTGGTGTGTGTGTGTGGTGTGTGTGTGTGATGTGTGTGTGCGCGATGTGTGTGTGGTGTGTGTGTGTGTGGTGTGTGTGGTGTGTGTGTGGGGTGTGTGTGTGTGTGATGTGTGTGTGGTGTGTGGGGTATATGGTGTGTGTGTGTGTGGTGTGTGTATGTGTGTGTGTGGTGTGTGGGGTATGTGGTGTGTATGTGTGATGTGTGTGGTGTGTGTGTGTGTGGGGTGTGTGTGTGATGTGTGTGTGATTGTGTTAAGGGTTTAAGAGAATCACCCTGGCCCCTGGTTCTGTTGTGATGTGTGTTGTTGTATGTGTGTGTGTGGTGTGTGGGGTATGTGGTGTGTATGTGTGGTGTGTGTGGTGTGTGTGTGTGTGGGGTGTGTGTGTGTGTGTGTGGTGTGTGGGGTATGTGGTGTGTGGTATTTGTGTGTGTGTGTGTGTGTGTGTGTACATCAGCACACCCACTGCACTTTGATCTCCAGGGCACTCCGGGGATGTAGGAAAGAGATGCAGATTATGCTGATGTCTCTTGATCCCTCCTCCCTCACAGATAAATCTACTTCCTCCTTCAGGCTTCCCTGTCACTGTGAATGGCACTAACCCCGACTCCGTTGCTCAGCCTAAATAAAAATCGAGGCGTTTGCCTGGATTTCCCTCTTCCCTTCACTGCCCACACCCAATTTATCAGTAGGTACTGTCCACCTCTACCCCCTGTTCTCAAGCAGCTCATTCCTCCCCGCTACCCTCTGCGACCAGCCGCGGAGTGCAGGGCACCACCCTCTCATCCCTCTGGGACTGTCATCGCCTCCTTCTAGGCTCCCGGCCTCTGCTCGCTCCTCCCTATGATCTGTTCTCTGCACAGCAGCAAAAGTCATGTTTAAATCTCTCCTATTTTTTAAAAATAAATTCTTATTGATTTCAGAGAAGGGAGAGGGAAAGAGAGAGAAACATCAATGATGAAAGAGAATCATTGACCGGCTGCCTCCTGCACGCCCCACACTGGGGATTGAGCCCGCAACCCAGGCATGTGTCCTGACCGGGAATCAAACTGTGACCTCCTGGTTCATAGGTCTATGCTCAACCACTGAGCCACACCGGCCCAGGCATAATGAATGATGTTTTAAAATTTTCAGCATCCAAGTACATACAATTCTCTTAATTTAACTTTGTCAATTTCCTTTTGTAATTCCTTTTTACTTTGCATATATCTTGGTTTGCTCTTAGGTGGAAAGTGATTTAGAGTTACTATGTGATGGCTTCTTGATGCATTAAATTGTTAAATTATAAAAAAACAACACCCCACACCTCTCCTATTAAAAACTCTCTAAGAGTTCCTCTTCAAACACAGAGTAAAACCCTGCCAGGTAAACAGTAAAAGGGAAGCGCACTTTTCATTTCAGTGAAAACAGTCCAGCAGGCGGTGATAAATCACCCGATTAGGCAAACGGGCTCATTCTGAGAACCTTCCCCCGGGGAGTTATCCTCTCAGGAAGGAACGTGAGCGAGTGGGGGACCTGCGGGACCGAGCAAAGGGCCAGGAGCGCCGCGCATCCCCCGCAACCAGGTGGGACTTACGGCTTCGGACTTGGGAGGCACTGGAGGTGGAGGTAGGGCGATCTCGGCAGGCGGCACGGCTGCTCCTCCCAGCTGCCCGGGCAGAGGAGAGGGTGCGCACTTGGACCGGGCCGACCCTCGCGGCTGCTCGCACCGGCTCCTGGCGCTCAGCGAGCGGGCGAGCGGCGGGGGGCCGGCGGGGCCTTCCTCCAGCCACAGCTCCTCGTAGGGAAGCTCGGGCTTTGCCGGGACCCCCGTGGACTCCTCGCTGGATTCGGGGAACAGGTAGTCGCTCCCTCCGCTGTCCCCCGGGTCCTGATAGGGCAGGATGTCGTGGGGAAACGGGGCCCACTCGCCCCCCAGGTTCCTGCAGCCGTGGAGGTTCACCTCGCTGTTGCCATGGAGGTTGTTGCCGTAGACGCAGACGGAGAGGCGGTGGAAGGACTGGGTGAGCTCGTCGCGCGCGTAGCTGAGCGAGCTGGGCACGTGGCTGTGGCCGGGGCAGCGGCCCTTCTTGGGGCTCTTGCAGTCCTCGCTCCAGTCGGTCTTCACGTCGCGGACGGCCCGGGAGTACTCGTCGATGTCGAACTGCTCCTGGCAGACGCCCAGCCAGTGGTGCACCAGGGCCTCGGGCCACAGGTCCCGCTGGCCCAGGGGCTCGGGGAGGCTGAACTTGGGCACCGTCAGGTGCAGCGGGAAGTGCATGGGGAGGACCTTGTTGCTGCGCAGCACGCAGCACACCACCACCGTCTTGGTCTGGATGTTGACGAACTTGTAGCGGTGGCCCTCGCGGATGAAGTGCAGGTCGTAGGGGTTCCGGGGCGGCGGGCTGGGCACGGTCACGTTCACGGGCAGCCGCGTCTTCTCCACGATGTGGCGGATGGTGTGCTCGCCCTCCTGCATCTGCAGCTCCAGCGGGCTGCGCGTGCTGAAGCGGCCCTTGCACTGGAAGGGCAGGCTGATGCTCTCGTTGGTGCGGTGGTTCATGCAGATGAGGCAGGGCATCTTGCCCTTGCCCAGCTTGCCGATGGAGTTGAGCTTCCCGATCTTCTTGAAAATGGTGTTGAGCCGCGACCTCTCCTTGAAGGTCTTCGCGTACAGGATCTCCGCCTGCCCCATGAGCGTGAGCTCGTCGCCGGTGCACAGGGTGATGTTGTACACCTCCGTGTCCTCGTTGCATTCCCCCGAGGCCACCTGCAAGGTCAAGCACACGGCAGGTTAGCTTCCGGTCGCCCCGGCCTCCGGAGACGCGCAGGCACACGCGTGCGCACGCACAAAGGGAAAATGTGGTTTTGGGTAGCACCAAATTTAGCCGCTCCATTTAAAAAATAATATTTATGTGGCTGACGATCACAAGATGACGTTAGTTTAGGCTTTTAAAAATACACTTTGTTCCGAAGAAAAAGGAAATCTGTGCACTAGTGAACATGTGGGAAATAGAGAGGAATAAGATGAAAGGAAAAGAACCCATGAGCCGAAGTCACCGGGAGCTATGGCGAATGGTTTGCTCCCTCTCCTCCCAGCTTCTTTTCCTGTGGAGTAGCCTATCAGATGGATCCTTATTTTGGGACATTAATATATTTAAAAATATTTTTATTATATCTTTTTCCAGTTATAAAAATTGCTTTCATAAACAACCACTATAGAAAATTCATTTTTTTTTTCCAATGAGGGGGGTGGAGTAAATTTTAAAAAAGTCCTTTATTAAGAACGATTAAAATTTTCCTAAATTTTCTAAAATTGGAATTGGGACAGATGCTCATTGGAAGAAATATAAAAATGAACAAAGCTGATACAATCTTACCACTAAAAATAATCTATGTTAGCAATTTTACATGAGTAGAAATTAAAAAATGAAATGTATCAAATTACCTCAGAGATATAAATACACATGCACACAATTTTGTTCCTGAGTTTCTCACTATAATTTATTCATCTTCCCATGTATACATATATACCATCAATTATAATATTGAAGTAACATAGGCCATTATATATGGCATGCCTTAGTTTCTTTGACCAGTTCCTTATTGTTAATGAGTTTTCCTAATGTTTAGCATTAAAATTAGCACTGCAATGAACTTTTAAAAAAATATGTTTTTATTGATTTTAGAGAGAGAGGAAGGGGCAGAGGTAGAGAGAAGAAACATCATCTATTGGCTGCCTCCTGCATGCTCCTTACTGGGGATTGAGCTCACAACCCCTGTATGTGCCTTGACTGGGAATCGAACCCTCAACCTTTTGGTGTACAGGATGATGCTCCAATTAATTGAGCCTCCTGGCCAGGGCTGAGATGAGTTTTAAAAAATCATAGTAATGTGTCTTTTCAATTCTAGTTCTCTCAGTTTCTCCAAAGAAATAAAAAATTTTAAAAAATCAAATGCTGTTTCTGTCTTCAATAAGATGGCTATATGTTTACTTTTAAAATTTTAATGCACTACTGTTATAATAGCAGATTCCCAAATATTGAAACAACCCTACATGCCTGAAATAACCCCCATATTATCATGCTGTTAAAGCTCTATTGCACAATTCTCTGGTAATATTTGATCTGTGATTTATGTATCTTGCAGGTGACATTAGTCTATCGTCCTATTATGTTATCTTTAGAAGATTTTAGTATCAGGCTTACATGAAGCCTAAGATCGACTTTCTTCTCTTACGTAAATAAAAAGGCACCTGGGAGAAGTGGCTGATCGTGTTCATATTGCTTACTGAGCAGTAACATCAGTCCGTGTTTAGGAAGCTGGGTGGTAACAATCTTTGTGCATGACCTCTCACCCGCTCCACTCTTCTTGCTCATCTCTGCATAATCTTAACCTTTGGAACAAGCCAACTGTCAGTCCACATTCGTGCCATAAAGTCAGCTCTGTTGTCTTCATAGAGCAGTTAATTTCTCTATGGGAGGCATTATCAGTGCACGAATAGCAGCACCATATCGTTTCAATGGCAATTGAGGCTCCGAAGGTTTAAAGTCCACTGTTGGTGACTCAATGGACTCAAAGTTAAGTATAATTTTTAAGACTAAGGTCTCAGCTTAACTGGGCTTACTTTCAGACTCAGCATTCACCTTGCCCTCACATAGATCCTGGGCTTCTCTACACTGGAGTAAGTTTAGGAATGTCAATAAATAAATAAATGTATGTTAGCTTTTTATTTGAAACTAGAGGCCTGGTGCACAAAATTCGTGTATGGGAAGCTGGGGGTGGGGGGGTGGGGGGTGTGTGTCCCTCAGCCCGGCCTGCACCCTCTCCAATCCGGGAGTCCTGGGGGATGTTCGACTAAACCGGCAGATGTCTAAACCGGCAGTCGGACATCCCTCTCACAATCCAGGACCACTGGCTCCTAACCACTCACCTGCCTGCCTGATCACCCCTGACCACTCTGCCTGCCTACCTGATCACCCCTACCCCTCTGCCTGCCAGCCTGATGCCCCTAACTTCTCCCCTGCCTACCTGATTACCTCTAACCACCTTGGCCTGCTGACCTGGTTGCCCCTAACTGCCCTCCTCTGCCAGCCTGGTCACCCCTAACTGCTCTCCCCTGCCGGCCTGACTGCCCCTAACCATCTCTGCCTCAGCCCTACCACTGTGGCTTTCTCCAGAAGGACATCTGGATGAATGTCTGGAAGATGTCCAGTCTAATTAGTATATTACCCTTTTATTAGTATAGATAATTGTGGATTTGCAGGAAAGTTGCAAAGGTAGTAAGAAAGTTCCTGTATACCCTTCACATAGTTCTCCTGCTAACATCGTATATAAACCTGGTGCATTATCAAAACTAAGACATTAACATTGACACAAGACTGTTAACTCCGCTTCAAGCTTTGCTTGGATTTCACTAGTATTTTTTTCCTTTCATGCCTTTTTTTCTGCTCTAGGATCAAACCAGCATACCACATCGCATTTGGTCCTTGTTTGTTACAGTCTTGACAGTTTTGAAGAATCCAGGTGAGGTCATTTTAAAGCTAATGAATAATTCATAAATGACAGTATTTGGCACATTTGAAGGCTGGCTCTTTTCCTGCAGCACCTGCAGCTTCAAGGTTTTTCAGTTATTGTATTTTAAGGATTCTTTGGTCACCAAGAATCCTTATAAAGATTTGTTTGCTATTAATTCTAACTTTTGGGTTATCCTGAAGGCTTTTATTGTCAGCTAGCATCTCATTAAACTAACAAGATATAGCTCAGAGGTCAACAAACTACTGTCCAGGGTCCCAATCTTACATTACATTTACCACCTAACTTTGTAAATAAAGTTTTATTAGGACTCAGCTATGCCCACTCATTTACGTAGAGCCTACAGCTGCTTTCACTCTATGACTGTTGAGTTGCTGCAACAGTGACTATACAGCCCACAAACTCTAAAATAGTTACTCTTATCTCCTTACAGAAAAAGTCTGCTGGCCCCTGATATAGATAAATGGAAAGAACTATGGCCTTTGGAAATTAATTGGAACAATATATTAACGGTACAGTACTATTAACTGAAGTACAAGACAAGTATGAATCCTGCCTTTATGGTGAGGTGACCTCACACGAAGTGTTTTACTTTTTTGAATCTCAGTCTCCTCATCTGTAAAAAGGGAATATCATCATCTACTCTGCAGGCTGAATCAACGTATGCTCTCAATAAATAGTGACTATTATTATTACTTTTATTAATAACTAGAGGCCTGGTGCATGAATTCGTGCACAGGTGGGGTCTCTTGGCCTGGTCGGCAATCAGGGCTGATCGGGGCTGGCTGGCCGGGGGGAAGGACCATGGAAGGTTGGCTGGCTGTAGGAGGTTGGCTGTGGGAGTGCACTGACCACCAGGGGGCAGCTCTTGCGTTGAGCATCTGCCCCCTGGTGGTCAGTGCACGTTATAGCGACCAGTTGACTGGTTGTTTGCTTAGGCTTTTATATATATCCTATATAATAAAAGCCTAATATGCTAAGTTGTCCATTCAACCAATCAAAGCGTAATCTATATATATAAAGGGCTAAGTGTCCGTCCATCTGACTGGTAGCTATGATGCACACTGACCACAAGGGGGCACACGCTCAACACAGGAGCTGCCATGACACGCACTGGCCATTTACAGAGAAACGGCACCGCGGACCTGGTGCCCACAAAGCAACACTCAGCTTCCCCCAAGTGGGACACAGGCCCCGCCACCACCCTGGAGCAACAGCCCACCAAATCACAGCCAACGCCGCCAAGACGTTGGCACATTTGAAGGCTGGCTCTTTTCCTGCAGCACCTGCAGGAAAATGTGGCCCCCAGCCCAGCCTAGAAATGGTGGTTGTGGGCGCCAGGTAATGTCATCACATAGCAATGCCCAGCTTCCTTTCCCTAGTATGCTAATGATATGCTAAGGCTGTTCAACCACTCGCTATGATGTGCACTGACCACCGGGGGCAGATAGTCGACTGGTTGACCAGTTTCTATGATGTGCACTGACCACCAGGGTGCAGATGCTCCGACTGGTAGGTTAGCTTGCTGCTGAGGTCCAACCGATCGGGACTGAGCGAGACGGGCTGGACATGCTCCAGAGCCCTCTCGCGAGCCCTCCTTGGCTGGCCGACCTCCTGCGTTCTTCCCTGGCCCCAGACTGTGCACCAGTGGGGTCTCTCGGCCTGGCCTGTGCCCTCTCGCAATCTGGGACCCCTCGAGGGATTTTGGAGAGCTGGTTTTGGCCCAATCCCGTGGGCCAGGCTGAGGGACCCCACCAATGCACCGGTCCTCTAGTATGCATGTAAGATCTCTGGTTAATCTCTTCCCTCTGCGATTCATCAGTCTGTTCCAGTTTCCATGCCTGTGCATTGAGTGTCTGCCCCCTGGTGGTCAGTGCGCATCATAGGTACTGGCCACTTGGCCAGTTGCTCAGGCTTTTATATATATAGATAAAACATTTTAGCTCTGGTCAGTGTGGCTCATGGTTGAGCATTGTCCTGTGAACCGAAAGGTTGAAGGTTCGATTCCTGGTCAGAGCACATACCTGGGTTGCGGGTGTGTTTGGGAGGCAACCAATCCATGTTTCTCTCTCTCTCTCTCTCTCTCTCTCTCTCTCTCCCCCTCCCTCCCTCCCTCCCTCTCTCTCTCCCCCCTCCCTTTATATCCCTCTAAAAACCCCCAATAAAAACATATTTTAAAATAATAATAATATAATAAAACATTTTAATCCTTTCACTTGTTTCATGATGCCTTCA